AAGATACAGAGCCGTTTCACAGATGGTTGGAAAAGTAGAAAATGCAGCCCAAGTCAGACACTGGCAACTAGAGTGACATAATGAAGTGCAGAACCATGAAAATGAATCCTTGCCAAGGTATGTTAATGCTCTTCCTACAGAAAAAAATGATCAGGGCATTTGTTTACCATTAACAAGTATGCGAGGATCTTTGGAAAGACGGAAGAGGCAGTCTTGCTACATAGGTCAACCTAAATGAAAACAACACAAGCCAACAGTGACCAGACGACAGCACCTTACAGATGACTGCTGAAAAAGGGTAAGTGGGAGAAAATTAGAGAGAAAGAGGGCTCTTAAACTTACATAAAGATATGCTTAGTCTCTCTTCTCATTACCCATGGTCATATAAAAATGGTGGTTTATTCCCAAATGATATTTTAAATATATTGTCATTTATTTCTGAAGTCAATGTGAAAAGTTCAGGGCAGACACCAAATGGGTTCACAGAGGACTGCATCCTATTTTAACCCTCAAGAACAGTGTACTCTACGCATTGTTGAAAGCATGTGGAGTGAGGAGAATGAATAAAACAACAATTAAGCCTAGCTTATATAAGTCTGACAAAATAAGAAAGTTTAGACGTGGGGAGTTCAAAAATATTCATGTATAAAAATCAAACATCTTTGAGAAAATCAAGAGGCATAAAATTAATTAGGCATTTAGAGTGGCCAAATTTCTGTCCTCATTTAACTTTTTAAAACCTACTTTATGGATCAACTGTTATCTTCTTATTTTAATTTATTTCTATGTTATATTGTTGGTAAGTTTACCTAGAGAAAAATATGTACTGTTTTCTACCTTTTGTTCACTCTTACTCTGACCAAAGTTTACACTGTCAAGCAAGAAAGTAAATGTGCTTATTCGATTGTGAGATCATTTAATCAAAATTAATGTTTTTGAAGGGCATTACACCCAGGACCAAATCAGATCTACAGATGGCTCTTACACAGCATGATTTGAAGGAGGCTCCAAAACTCTCTCTCACACTGGCCTGCTGTAGTGACAACATTTCCACCCACCTAGCTAGAAATCACACCCTTGGACTCAGCCCACTTCTTTGATTTATGTCATATATGCATTATCTACTATTAGAATGCACATGTTATGTGGGTTGCGAGAAAGGCCCTAGAATTACTTCTGCTCTGCCTGCATTAAAACGTATTATCAAATTCACTCGCCCTCTCACTAAGAGACCCAAAGGCCTCTTTCTGTTCTGGACAGTAAAAGATAGAAGAAAAATTGGATGTAAGGAGAGAATAGCACATGGTTGGATCTGGGTAAGATTTTAGAGTGAGTTAGTTGCCTTACCGATGATGAGAAGCCGACCCAGAAGGACTAAGTGACCTACCCAATCCTAATGGCAAAATTGGGATTAGAGGTCACATGGGGTGTTTTCTATATTGAGTTGTTAAACACTACATATTATCAAGCCATACATAGCAAAAGCAAACTAACCTTGCAAAGATGATTCATGGGGGACTTTGAGAAGAATGAGTAGACTGTGGCATGAAGGCAGGGGCCAAAATAAATACTGACAATAGACCTCAAGAAACTGTTAAATACGACTCCAAGAGAAAGTCTGAAGACTCTGCATAATTAAGATAAGGGCAAACTCTTGCATAGTCTATGTTTGCACTTAATGTGATGGTGCTTTTAAGCCTGTATTTGGTTTTCACTTGACTTATCAATTCGCTGAGTAGGTTTCAATTATTTTAAGGTTTTCATTATCAAATATTTTATCATTACTCAACTTCCCACCATGAACCTCATATTTTAAAATATTTTATACCACTAAATATATTTTAATGAAATAATAAATAACCAACTTTCCTAATCTTATCAAAGGATCAACATGAAATAATCATAATATCGATAATAATTAAAGGCAAAGAAAAATATATTAGTGATCTTTTTCATGAATAAATGTATAATTCATGAGAGTTTTCTTAAAATATTTTTTAAATGGTATAATTTTCATTATTATTTTCCAGAGATCCCTGGATGTAAGTACCAGAGATTTGAAATGATCAAAGTGGTGAGTCTCATTCTAATTATTAGATTCAGGTTTCAAGAAATTATGCTTACTTTTACAGTTTATTCATCTTCTTAAGCTAATAAGAGAATAAAACTTCATTTGTTATTTGACACTAACTTGGGTTGGAATATAGAGTTTGTTATAAAGAGAATGAACCCACAAGCCCTCCTAATAAAATCTTGTTTATTATGCTAAAGTATAGAAGGTAGATAAAACTTGTGTAAAACATAAGTGCATTTTGCTGCTTATCTACTTAAAATTTCCTGTGTTTTAGTTATGTCATTATTACAGCATCTGTGACAACTTATTTTTATCATTAGCTGTCCCAACTTATACTCAGTTTGCATCATGACATTGGAATGTAATATGTTATTGCCCTGGAAATTATCTTCTAAATTTACAATAGAAATTAATCCAAAAAATTAGTTATCACTGCATTATTTCACGTGGGTTAAAATACAGGGAAAATATTCGAAGTAATAATAATTAGGAACTAGGACAGCATTCAAAATGGTATTTTCATGGAAAATCCAATACAAATCCTGATTAAAACCTAACCAAGCAAAACACTGCAGATTACCTGGATTCCAATTAAACGTGACAAATGAACACTTGACAGGTTTCAATTCCAATTCTATTTATGTCACAATGATCCATTAATACTGAAGATGAAATTACCAGAAAATTCAAGCAATACAATTGTACTTTATAGCTAGACAGTAGTTTGAAAACTTGGACCCAACAAAACTCTTACTCAAATGTCAAGTGCTACATTTGGATCACCCGAAGTGAATCACATCTCCTTCTGTCATTACCTATAGATCAGGGCTAACATGAATCACAGCTAACAGATGACAAATGGTTATATAGACTGAATTTCAAGTGTCAGTCACATATAAAATCAGGAAAAATCAGTTATATTATGATGGTCCTTGCTGTTCACAGAACTGAAAACATGGTTATAAAAAATAACTAAAAACCTCTTTGGGAAATTTTTCTCAGTAAACTTTCTAGTGTCTTAATAAGCTCACCTGTTAAGTTTTCCATGAAATATACGTTTCCTAAAAAGCAACCAACACGTGCTTGTCATATATAATTATGTTTATTATTCATCATTTCTTGCTTTTTTTAAAAGCGTTGAATCCCCTTAAACTCCAAAAACAGAAAATAGCATTAAAATGTGATTATAATGCCAATGATACAAAGTCCTTTCTATTAATATAGCTGACATCCAAAAAATAAAGACTTAATTGTACCTTATGTTGTTTATAGTGACATAACTACTTTTTAAAACACAGAATTATATGATATCATCAAACGGCAACTGCAGATACAGTAATGTCCTTAAATTAAATTAATCCTGCCTTCCTAGGTGTGTCTCTGTGTGTGTGTGTGTGTATGTGTGTATAAAATATTATTACAGTATTTTTAATTTAATTTTTACTTTTGTGCAAAGCATTTCTAACATATTTGTCTTAAGTATATATTCATAAGCATTGCAATTCATACGAAAATTTTTATACTCATTTAAAAAATACTAAAAAAAATGAATTCTTAAAAACCACATCAGACTCCCATCCACATAAGCACACACCACCATACACACAGATAAGCATGCCTTTATAGCCGTAAGGCAAATGCCTTTTAAACTCTGGAGAATTAATCAAGAGAGATATCAGTCATAAGACCCTGATAGTGTATCTTCTCACCCAGATAATAATGTGAAAAATAATTTTTAACATGATTTAGGTTAGCAATAATTTCACCTGGGGTCATTTATGATATATTATTCTCTAATGTTGGATTTAAATATTCATTGGTAAACTTCCAGGAAAACAAAAATCGACTTTTTCCTGCATTAATATGCTCTATTTACATATCATCACTAAAGAAACTGGCATGTAACAAAAAGTTAATGTCTTATTTCACTTGATGGAGGGGATGACGAAAGAAAGAAACCCATTTCAAGTTTTCACTAGAGATAAAATGTGTGCGGTTTTATCTATCTTCCCCTACGTGTAATCAAATCTCTTTTTGTATTTGAAATAATAATAAAATTAGTCAAAACTTTACCATTCCATTATTCGACACAAACCTATTCCTCAGGCATTTACTGTAACCTGAAATCCAAAAAATAAATCACCTAATTGTCTTTGGGACTATAAACAAATGTGAAAAGCTTAAAAGCATTATTTGCAATCAAACTTTATAACTTAAAGGAAAATGTATATAAGTCCAATTGTGTGGTAATTATGAGAATCATCTCACAACAGGATAAGAATATAGAGTATAATTTGCTTTCTTCCCTTTACCTTGCACAAAAATGAATAAAACCTTCTAGTGAAATGAGAGAGGAGTTCTAATAGTATTTACAATATATTTTGGAAAATAAGATAACACTGTTCTCCTTCATTGACTCCATATCACTCGAAAAGAGAGGCTTGAAAGTGCATTTCTAAATACCTAGGAAAAGAAAGAGTTGAGCAGGGTGTGTTTATTGTCATTTCCTTTCACTAAGACTGGACAATTGCAATTGAAGAAATAGTTGCATGACAAAAATGAATAGAAGAAAACAATAACACAAGATCTTTCTCATTCGCTATTCTTTAGGTATTATGCACTAATTTAGTTTTTTTTTCATTTCAGGTGCTACTCTGATTTAGTTGTAAAGGTGTTTATTTCGGACAGGCTGTTTTAAAATGATGGTGCAAGTTTGGTGAATTTTATCTAGAGAGTTATGTTCCTTTATTTGGCATTTCTGTACTTTAGCAAATATTTATTATTTCAAATAAAATAGTTTTAGTGTCAGCTATTATATTTTGGTTTTAGACTGACCTTCGCGAGTCTACTTATTACAGCTCACTAGCGTGATTGTGTGTGTGGATGTTGTGTTTGCCCCTACCATTTTCCATATGCTCTGCCTCACCAACACTGCCATCCGGCGTGGTCCTTTCATAGTTGTCCTCTGGGAGTGGAAGGGCACCCAGTCTTGGCCCTGATGAACTCTTACTGCTTGGTGTTTCTGACTCCTCCAGCCCGCTGTCATAGCAACTCTGCAGTGACCCCTGATGTGGGTCCTGAGGCTGACTCACAACAGAAAACGTCACTCTACGAAATGGCTGTAAGAGAAAAGATTCTGAATGTCACTACGATATAAGATTGTAAATGATCTTATTAAAAAAACATAAATTACATACATTAAGGTCTACTAACGACTAATTCAATACAAAATGGTTAGATATGTTGTAATCTATTTGGTTAACTCTGTATTATCTGAGACAATGCCTAGAACTTAGATTTTATTTTTGAAAAACTGAAAATTCCCTTTCTGAAACAGAGATAAGAAAACAGCAATTTCACTAAAACACACATTTAAATCTGATATGTTAGTTCCACATAGTCAATCTTTTTCTATTCTGTAGTCTTTACTTCAAATATGTTTTTCACAAATAGACTCTCTATAAAAATAATGGTTAGTGATTTTGGAAAGCAGTAAATATTTGACTAATCCATTGTAAGAAGACTTCATGTTTAAATACTTTGATATAATAGTTTAAAATTGAGTGTTTTGGCAGTTAATTTAAACTATTAAAGTTACAGCTACTAAATAGGAATTTAGATGCAGTGCTAGGAAATTGCAATATATTTCTTACTTCATTCATATTAAAAATATTACCTATTGACCTTGAAATTGTAAGAGTAGTATTGAAACAATAGAAAAAAGTTTCCTTAACCAGGGAATAAGAAATAAACTAAAACGTTTAATTGTATGTGCTTACTATTACTGTTTTTGTATTTATTCAAAAAAAGTCACGTCACGTACAGCCTTTAAATTTATTTAAAAAATACTTCACCTTTGTCTAATTTGACCCCACAATTTACTATGCTACTGACATTGGCTGGACCAAATTCTTACTCTGTGTAAAATTTACAGATTATCATAACTTCAAAATAAAACAAAAAAATTTTAGGCACGTTAAGGGAACAAACTAATGCCACGCAGTAACAGTGCTTTGTACACATGATATTGGAAAAAACAATATAAAAAGTTTCTGTAATATCCGTCTGAGATTATTCTTGGCAATAGTTGTATCCATTAAGCTCTTGTATGATTTGAAAGTGGCATAAATGTAAGGATTTTTAAACTTGTAACTCAGACTGGTTCTTTCTAATATAGAGCATAAAACTAATGTTGCCAGAATAGTGAGAAAGATAAAGAACCTTTTTTGCACTTTCATAATTTGAATACTAATGGTACAAATCACTAGTCACAACTGGGACCAGTAGAATTTTTTAAATGGTAAGAATTATCTACACATGATAGGTGATTAATGGGAAAGCTAAGAAGAGTTGTGACATTTCCCCCAAATTTATACATTGGCTTTGCTAAAAACAGCACATGCTCCCACAAATCTTCCCTGTATTTTGTTGTAGATAGAAGATTGGCCAGGAATATTGGCTATTGTTGGTATTTCTGACCCTGTACGCTCACCTTTCGTGTACTTATTTGGAATACACAGTCTTCATAAGATCTTCTTTTTCATTCTAGTTCAAAATTAAACTTAGGAACTGCTGAATCTTATTGTAAAGGGTGAACATTTAAAGCACATTCTCTTCTTTATAATGTTATGCTGAATTGGAACTGCAGCATTTAAAAACAATTACAAAATATTTCTAGTGTTTTTTAGCATACACATCATGGACCAAAATTTACTGTCAATAAGCTTTCTAAAAACATTATCCTTATTTCACTAATAACTCTTATATCTGTTTACAGTAGTATTATTGTGATATTTTATCTTATATCTAAATAAATATAGAAATCCGTTTGTATTTACCATGCTTTATCTTATGTGTACATGTTTTCTTTAATTTTTTTTTCATTTATCACTCCCAGTTGACTGCAAACTATCTGTGATTTGTTTCATGTCTTCGTCTCACCTTGGAAATGAGACCACTGACAGTCTCCTAAAACCACATTGTTCTGCACACAGAAGTTACTCACCAAATACTATTGAACAATGATATTTTAATGACAATGTTGAATTTAGGAAAGAACACCAAGGGGCATGCAGACATATTATCACTTCAAGACAGCAAAGAGTTTAAAAAATATATATCTATAAAAAGAGAAAGGAGGGTCACATGCTGTTCTTAATTCCATTTAATGACTCTAAAATCTTTTAGAATAAGTCTTCGGTAACACAAGAAAAAGTTCAAAATGAATACAGAAATACATAATTTATACTAATAAATTGACAAAAGGAAAATAAACAAATTATGAGAAATGATATTCCATTTTGATATAATAGGAAAGAAGGTGATGTTTGGGTGAAGGTGGTAATATCAGAATCTGTGCTTAAATGCTGGTTCCGCCAAAAGTAAGAATAGGATAGCAGAGAGATAGGTGATAGGGTATACTTGCAATGAAAAATGTCAAAAATAAAATAATGATTTTTCTATAATGTATTATATAATAACTGCAATGAAGTTGTGCGTCTTATTTTCTTGATTTCCTACCCTATTTTGACTGTGAATTTTTTAATCTCCATGAGTTATTTTAGGTTACATATTAAATGTAATGATGGAAATAAAAATGTAATTTGAAAATACTAAGATCAATATATATACTAACAAATATTTAAATTCATGAATACTTCCTTTTTGTATAAAAAATTTCTTCATTTAAAATAATATCTGAATGAAAGAAAAAAAATCATTCACAATAAAAGTCTAAAATAAAGAGTATCACACAATGGATCATAACATATCCCATCTATCATTTTTATCTGCATTTTAAAATATTCCATTAGAATTCTACAATACAATATCAGTATTATACTACTATCTACTAAACTCTCTTTTGATAACTTTGAATAAATAAAATTCTTGTGGTAAAGTATTTAAGTCAGCGATGTGAACCAAATTTGTACAGAATCCTAAATTCTGAAGGAGAACCTATTGATGCAAGAGTTAATCTTTAATTCCAATAGTAAATCAGACATGTACATTTAGATAGAGAGAGAGATAGATAGATGATAGATCGACAGACAGACAGTTACACAGAAAGACATATATTTACACACCACCGTTCATCATCAGGTTGGGCCTAATGAGAGGATAGGTTTTACAGTAGAAGTTATGACACAGAAGTCATATTACTTATATATTCCAGAAATATTGACTAAACCAAATATGTAAAGCAGTTTATTGGCTGTGTGACAGAAAGAATGAGTTTGCATTCTATATGTAACTGTCACTTTGTAAATTACTGACACTCTGAAGTAGAGTGGTTTTAAGTGATGGTTCTTAAACCTAGATGTGCCTTAGAATGATCCAGAGAACTTCTGAAAAAACATAATGCCAATAACTGGCCTCGATTTAAACCCAGTGAATCAGTGTTCATGGTGGGGCTGGATATCAGTAGTTTATAAGATCACTCCAGGTGACGAAGACGTACAGAGAGGAAGGAGAAACCCTACAATTGAACAACATATGGAAGCAAGTCAAAAAGACCCAACTGCTCCAGGAAGCCAGCTGGTCCCCTAAGTGTCCATAGACTTCCCTGGGGGGTCAGTAGAACCATGGTTCCATCTTGAGATGTAAAAGTACGAACATGAAGACATTTAGTGACCTGAGGTATCTGAGGTTTGTATTTTTCTGTCTAGAGTGATAAATGATTTGTGTCCTACAAAGACAAACTGGTCTTTCCAAAAGAGGAACAAGTGGAAGAGCTTGAGAAAGAGTGTCAGCCTTCCAGCTCTTTGAAACTGTGAAGATGTGCTTGAAAATTGAATAAGCATTGCAAGAAAGAGGTCTCCAAGAAAATCATTCCAAAAATTGTGTGTGGGATATGTGTGAGAATTATAAACAGGAGGGAGCATAAATCAAAGATTTTATTTAGGCAAATGAATGATCTAATTGAAGTTGAAGACATAATCTGACAGTTCCTTGCAAAAGAGAAGTTAGAAGAAGTGTTGAAAGCAGAGGAATTTTCTAAGAAAGGGTGAACTATGGAGAAACAGCAATGAGAATGGGCAGCAAGGCCATTCTAGAGCAGGTCTGTGTGGCTGATTGGATTCGGTCATTAATTCACTATACCTACATTTGTTTTGCACACATTATGTCCCAGAGTTTTAAAGATGTTCCAACAATGATTCTACACGTTTAAGAAACTAAAGTGCTACCTATTTAAAAAAATCTTTGTCACAAAGTTCATTTATAGTTTCTAAGAAAAGCAATAAAGATCAGATGCATATTCACAAATATATGAATAATGATAAAACTTTTAGTTTTATCCATTCTTAATTGTTAGATTGATTAAAAGGTAACCGTCACACCATAATAGTGGATATTATGTCCCATAATCAGAAATACTTAAATATATTTCCCTTCCATCTACATTAGCAAAATCTTCTAAGTTATAACCTGCACAATAAAAATGGGTTGCTTTAGGGCTGGCCCCATGGCATAGCGGTTAAGTGCGCGTGCTCCGCTGCTGGTGGCCCTGGTTCAGATCCCGGGCGCGCACCAATGCACCGTTTGTCGGTCCATGCTGTGGCAGTGTCCCATATCAAGTGGAGGCAGATGGGCATGGATGTTAGCTCAGGGCCAGTTTTCCTCAGGAAAAAGAGGAAGATTGGCATGGATGTTAGCTCAGGGCTGATCTTCCTCACAAAAAAAAAAAAAAATGGGTTACTTTATTTGATAGGGCAGTGGCCAATTTCAGAAAAGGGAAAAGAAAGGAGTTGAACCTTGGGAATATCCTATTATACACAATACTTACAGTAAATAAGAAAACATAGCATCTGGGTAGGATTGCAGAACTTTCCCCTTGGAGTCCATTTCTTATAAACTAGTAACACTACCTTTACGGGGCTTTTATTTGCAAGGGTATAGGACCCTAAGGATGCCACTGGAAAGAACTTCAGGTTAAATCTCTTTCCCTATTGAATATTGCTCTGTGTCTTACAGACAACTTTATTGGGAACTTTAAATCTGCACCTTCCCTTTTAGCTTCAATAGTTTCTCCATAAATTGTCTCCTTATCTGCTACTCACATACAGCTGTCTCAGTCACATCAATTATTTCTAAATAGGCTGAAAAGGCTTTTTTATTT